GAATGCAAACCAGTGCAATCTCTTTGAAAGAACTAGAAATTCACCTTCCATATGACCCAGCAATTCCCCTATTGGGAATATACCCGGAGGAACTCAAATCATTCTACAAAAAAGACACCTGCACACGTATGTTTGTTGCAGCTCTATTCACAATAGCAAAAACATGGAACCAACCATGCTGCCCATCGAAACTGGATTGGATTTTTAAAAACGTGGTACATATACACAATGGAATATTATGCAGCCATAAAGAAGGACAAACATATGGACTTTGCAGCAACTTGGATGGATTTAGAGTTGATTATACTCAGTGATCTATCACAGAAACAAAGAACAGAGTACCATATGTTCTCACTCATAAGTGGACCTTGAACAATTATAATATTATAAGAAAGGGATTGGCAGTAGTGGGAAACTGCCAGGGGAGGGGAGGTGGTGGGATTGGTAGTTAAGGGAAACTACTGGGGAGGGAGGGGCATACCTCATCAACAAGGGTATCTGCATAATCAACATTTGTATATCTAACCCTGAATTGTACCCCACATCTTTATAATAAAATTAAAAAAAAAATTTGCTGTTGTTAATCATTTAATATTGTACAATATCGGAAGCTCTACAGAGCCTGCATGCAGTTTTATTTATTTATTTATTTACTTGAGTTGGGGTTTCACTATGTTGCCCAGACTGGTCTCAAGCTTCTGGGCTCAAGTGATTCTTCTGCTTCAGCCTCCCAAAGTGCTGAAATTACAGACATAAGCTGGCATTTCTGGACTGTCTTCTTTGTTCTTAATGATTAACTTTTTATTTTTTAGAGATATGGTCCTGCTTTGTTGCCTGGCTGGGAGTGCAGTGGCATGACTATGGCTCACTGCAGTCTCCAACTCTTGGTCTCAAGTGATCCTTCTACCTCTGCCTCTCAAAGTGCTGGGATTAGAGGTATAAGCCATGGCGCCTGGCCTTATTGTTAATGATTAACTTTCTAAGGATGAGAATCTGGGTAATACAATGCTAATCTTATACATGTAGGGAGTGTATTTATTTCATGGTGCAGAAGAGCATGGCTGGATATAGTTGAAATGATAGTCCATGTGGTCACACCTGCCCATTTGCAGTTAGGCCTTAAACTCAGAGAAATCCTAATTCTCCAAATTCTCTGGGGTCTTCAAAACTAACTGAATCGATAAACTGAAACAGAGAAGTGCAAGTTAGGTAAGGGTCATAATTTTTACCTGAAATATGTAGAATTTAATAAAGTAAACACACTATGAAATGTTTATATAACATTTGACCCTTGACTTTGCTAGTTTTGCTTCTCACTGGGATTGGGTTTGCTTTAATGTTTCCCTTGGGCCAGAAACAATTTGGTTGAGCTGAACATTTCACAGACATGAAGGTGGTCTGGCCCCATTCCAGCTTTATGGTTGGATGTCAGGTGAGGAGTGTATTAGTGAAAGTGTATTCACAATTTGTCCGGAAATCTTATGAATTTGACTCAAGAAACCAAAGGGTCTGACATCTGAAATTACACAGCATTAGTTTCTGATCAATTATTTTTATTATTATTACTTTTGAGTTGGGGTCTTACTCTGTTGCCCAGGCTGGAGGGCAGTGGCACAGTCACGGTTCTCTGCAGCCTCAACCTCCTGGGCTCAAGTGATCCTTCTGGCTCACCCTCCCAAGTAACTGGAACTACAGGCATGCACCACCATGCCTGGCTAATTAAAAAAAGTATTTTTTTGGTCGAGAAAAAGTCTTGCTCTGTTGCCTAGGCTCGTCTCAAACTCCTGGCTCAGGCGATCCTACTGCCTTGGTCTCCCAAAGTGCTGGGATTACAGGTATGAACCACCATGCCCAGTCTATATCAATTATTAATATAAAGGGAATCACTGCCTCTAGATAAACTAGGTAGATTTAAATAAAGCTGGAAGGCTTTATCTGGTTACTTAAAATGATGTTATTATCATTCCTCCTTTGGATCATATGTTTGAAAAACTGTCCAGACCCTTATTAACTATTGATTAGTGAAAGGAATTGATGTAAATAAAATGGTACCGATATACCCTGATGTCATCTCTTTTATGAAAGCTTGCCTCCCCCCCAGTATGCTGTAAACACTTTGCTGCCACTTAATATTTAATGGCTTGAATTATAGTTATTGAGGTTGCTATCTTATTCTAACCTCTCGATTGCTCTTCCCTCACTCACCTTTAGAATTCTGTCATATTTAGCCAGCGCTTTCTGCATGGAAGGTCTGCATTAACTGTCTGTGGAATCAAATTAAGGTAAGTTGAGTACAGACTTGAAAGTTCAGGAAGCTTGGGCTTTGGTCCTGGTCCAGTCACTGAATGGTTGCAACGACTGTCCAGTCATTTCTTTTCCTTCCTTCCTTCCTTTTTCCTTTCTCCCTTTCTCCCTTTCTTTTGAGTTGGAGGTCTCCCTCTGTCACCCAGGCTGGAGTGCAATGGCATGATCACAGCTCACCACAGCTGGGACAACAGATGCATACCACCATGCCCGGCTAATTTTTTTTTTTTTTTTTACTTTTTGTAGAGACAAGCTCTTGCTATGTTGCCTAGGGTGGTCTTGAACTCCTGGTCTCAAGCAATCCTCCTGCCTCGGCCTCCTGGACCGTAGAGGTTACAGTAATTTCTTTGAGCCTCTGGCTCCTCCTCCTGCTTGTCTTTCCCTCTTCCTCAGCATCATCATTTACTATCCTGTCCTGCACATTGTTACCCTTCACCTACATTAGGTTTACTAGATTCTACTATGTTACACACTCCCATGTGCCAGCATGAACTAAGCATTTTAATACATTGTTTAACTCTCATAACTTATGTGATTGATGCCATGGGCTCCACTCTTCAGCTGATAAAACTGAGGCTGGAGATAGAGTGAGTGTGTGGTCCAATTAGGATTTGAACCTGAATCTGTGCTGTGTCTGATGTACTCTGGCTATTACTGACATTTGACTTTCGATTCAAATTACTTTGAGAAAGTCTCACTTTAAACTAGTACCCTCAAACCTAGTATACCCTGTAAACTAATCTTACCTTCCCCTGCAGTACAGGAAAACACCTAAAATTATCTGTGATCATTGTTGTGGATCCAGGTACTAAAATAAGAAGCAGGAAGCCCTCAGCAAGAGTTGCCACAGTTGTCACAAACTTCATCATGGGGTAGAAATGCTGAATGCTGCAGCTGAGTGAATCCAGGAGAAGTGTGAGGATGCTTTCCCAGGACTGTGGGGACTTCATTTCTGGGTCTGCCTCAAGCTTTTTCTGTGTCCTTGTTGAGTGACATCAGCCCTTGGTCAACATCTTGGAGGGAGATGGGGGTAACACTTGGCACCTACTAATTGCGCTGGTTCACTGGGACAGGTGATGGAGCGTGGAGGTCAGCGTGGTCACAGTGTGTTTCCTGTGACAAACTGTGACACCGGGCCGGTGGGGTGCGGCAGAGCGCTGGGGCTCTGGAAGGCAGACCAAGCTCTTTGTCTAGTTTCCTTGTTTTAACGTGGGCAGTGGCGTGGGATGAGGGAGGTGGTCAGCTCTTCCAGATGCTGAAGTTCTAGAAACAACTGGCAAAAAATGAATTTAATAGAGTCTGGGAGGGCTTGGGTCAATGACGACATTTGGCTGACATTGGCCAGTCTTTAAACACAATGACAGACGTTTGTGGAGGAATCACAGCTCCGGAGTAAGACGCACGGACTTCGGTGACTTTCCTTAACTTGGTCCCCTTTCTCTGACGAGAACTCAAGCCCAGCGTGAACCTCATCGTGGAGTCGCAGCCTCTCCCGGGGTTTGCCCGCGTCCAGCGCCAGCACCTCGCGGGGATCCCCACCCCCGAGGCGCGGCATATGTTGTCCACAGACTCGCATCAGGATTGCTTATGCTGCAGATTTTTAAATAAATCAGTGTATCTGAACTGCCGATTTTAAGTTCTGCACATTGAAGCGGGCGGGTCACCACGGGGTCAACTGGAAACTTCAAGGTAAATAGTGGCCCGGGGAGAAAGGCCGGGTCGCGTCGGAGCCCCCCCAGCGTCTCCCCGGAGCAGACGAGTCATTTTTGCTTTTCACCCGTAACCATCGCCGCCCGGCCTGGCAGAGCCCGCCAAGCCGCAGCGGGGAGGCGTGTGCGACTCTGGGTCCCCGCCGGCGGAGGGGCTCGGCTGGAGCGCCTGGCCCGGTCCCCGTCGTCCCGGGGGGCGAGGGGACTTAGCGACCGCACCGCTCCAAAAACCTCGGCGCGGAGCAGAAACTGCTTCCCCCAGAAGCGACTGCACCCGAAACCCTCCGGTCGGAGGAAGGGGATTAAAAGTGACAAAGAAAGGGGCGGTGGGGGGGTCGCTAGGGCCTCAAGGGGCGTGGAGGGGGCGTCCCCGAGGAGGGGCGAGCGCAGCCCCGGCGGGCAGCGAGAGGGGGGTCGAGGGCGCGGTGCCAAGGCG